GTCTCAAAAGTTGCCCTGCACAGCTAAGGACCAAGGGGAACCTGCATTTAAAATTTGAGAAAGATCCCTCTGGTACTTCTTGAGAAATACCGATAACAAGAATTGTTTACGGACGGACGACGGACGACGGACAACCGACGGACCACGGACGCAGGGTGATTTGAATAGCCCACCATCAGAAAAAAAAATATACCAAGGTAGGTTGTCAGAATTTGAAGGATTTTAAATGGAAATTTATGTAAAAAGGAGTGAATTTTGAAAAAAAGATATGAAAAAAAACAATTTTTGGCAAAATAATATCAATAAAAATGATACGGACATAGATTAGTATTGCATTAATGTATATCAATTTAATAAATGCTGAAATTGTGTAAAATTAATTATCTATAAACGATTAAAAATTGACATTTTATAATAAAACCATGTACACATAGTAATTGCATGTAAAGAGTTATCTTTCTTGAAAAACTTCACAGTAGTGAAATAGGTAGCCGGTTTCCTGAAGTACAGAAAAATGGACACATGTGGCTCATTGATTAAAAAACAACTGAATTAATGCCTGGATTGCTTTGAAATACTTTAATATTGAGAGAACACACTGTTCTGTCAATAATAAACTTACAATATTCATCAGTTTAATATCAAACATTAGAATATGCGGAAATTGTGATACTGTCTCCCTACATTGGATTTTCAACTAGGGATGTAGTTCCTTTAGGACAAACAGTAGGTGTTCCTTCTATATCTAAAGATAGGATAATGTTCGCTTCTCCCTGTCATACTGTATCAGTCTGCAAAGCTCTTACTAGCCTATAAACTACACAGCTGTGACAACATGTAAATTGGAAAGCTAATGGATTAAATTTTATTATATTTCATAATTTGCCCCCTGATCCTGGGTAAGAAGAACAATCACTGTTTGGGTGTTTTTTTCCCTTTTTTTAAAACACTTACTTTTCTAACAGGGTTGGAATGATGATTTCTGGTCTCATGTTGGACAGGTGACGGAGGGCGATGGCGGAGTCGTGACTGCCATATTTGCTGAACATGGAAACGAAGATGACAGGCTTCATACTTTCCACAAACCTGGTGATGTCTTCTTCCGACAACTTGTGGGAGTCAGGAACCTGGTTTTCCCACGTGGGCTTTTTATATCTCTCCCTGTAACACACATGTATGACCGTTATTAATCCAACCAAAATGTTCCTCTCAAATGATTTTGGCAAAAGGATACCCAGTCGAGTCTGATAACTTTTCAGGCTTTGAAAAGTTATTTACCTGTTAATTAATGTTATTTACATCACAGGAAATACTAAGTTACTGATGCAAATAAACGTCATATTGATCATGACGACCTAAATAAGCTTTTTAATTGTATTCCTTCACATCATTTCTGTGAATGGTGCCAGTTTTATAAAGTTGTATGTATATCAGCACTCTAACTCCCCCTACAGTACTCGACACAAAATTAAATCCCCCACTCCCCATCCACGATACTCCAGGGGTTACGCTCACTTTCGCTCTCTTCACCCCTGGAATATGGCATACCAAAATTGAAGGCACACTGCTTTTTGATTGGTCTCGGGTAAAAATACCTGACCGATTGCTATGTTGATACCTATCCTTTGAAGATTACAGAGAAGCGACAACAACTTCAAAGACAGTCAATTTAATGTTACAAGACCATGAGATTTCTTTTGATGTACATCAAAGGATCAAACTTGTCTTCTTGTCTCATCCTCAGGGTGTCGCACACTGAGCCTTCGATTTTGCTATGACATATTCCAGGGGTGCAGAGAGCAAAAGTGAGCGTAACTCCTGTATTATCGAGGATGCCCACTCCCCTGGTCTCTACCAAACTAACCTGTGTATCCTCTTCACAAAGAGGCGCGGGAATGTCATCAGTAGTCCACTAAGTTTCACCTGCAAAAATAAATACAAGCAATTGAAGAAATTATTTACAGGTAAATTTGTATTAATTTCTCATTTACAAAAATAAAAACATTTTTTCCACTGTATAGGTTTGACGAATATTCTTAGCTTTAATAATTGGTTTCTATTGAGAGAAAGCACGGTGCTGTAGGAATTGTTATGTACACCCTGAACTCCCTGATTTTTTTTTAAGGGCCTGTCATTTATTTTATATGATCACGTTTGCTAGTACATCTGTCTTTTGCCATTATGATATTAAAGCAAGATCAAATTTGCTTCAGAGCACGGCCAAAAGTTTAACTTAAGAATGTACAATTACGGTTTATCAAGTTAATCCTGGCTGCATTGTGCATACTGTGAGATTTTCTTTTACAAATTGGTCATTTGTTGTGTGTCAAAATGTGGATCCTATAAACAGTAATGACTGAACAGATAAACTGATGGATTTATATTTACCATTTATATTTGACAGCAAATGAATGGTGATTGATAACAAAACACGTTTGAACATTTGATTATTAATATCAACAAAATATAATTATTCAATGTACATGTTCATATATAGAGGTTACACTAAAAAGTAGAAATCACAGCCACTTACATTCCACTTCCCTAGATTGGAGGGATGGTAAAATGTCTGCAGAGTTTTGAAGATCTTGTCCAAATAATCCTGCACACCAGAGCTACCTCCCTGTCAAAATGGAAAGAAAAGGAACATTTGTGAAAAGGCTTGCCTATAGCAACACTTCGGATTAATATGTCTCGCCTATGCCCTGCTTTGACCATCAATGCACATATCAGAGAAACCAACTTAATGTTGATGACAAGTCGATGGACCGGTAAAGGTAGGTCGAATCCAGCATTTGATGCATGGGCTGAGATGTACTACCTTAGATGCATCTATGGTCTAAGTTTGGTTGGTCTAGCACTTATAATTATATTTTCAGTGAAACTAAGTTAAACGCAAAAACTTAATGTTGGCACCTTCGATATAGTCTCGCTTCCACTTCATGGTGGCGAGACAAAAACTCTTGTTTCAGATATGAATACGATTTTCTTTTCTATTAAAAGATGATATTGACTAAAATGAAATAACTGCGTAAAAACATGAGTTTTAAGAGAGAAATTTAAAACCTGATCACTTTGTTGCCCTCCCAAATTCTTTTATTATCGTAGAATGAAATGAAGAATGCTGTGCAGTCTAAGAAATGCCTCCGATGAAGTAACTAATTCGAAAAGTCATTAAGACTCCTGAATAGCATTGTCTGCCCTTCAATATGTGTAGCTAGATTTTTTATTTGAAGATCATAACTGATAGTAAGGTAGACATATGCCAACTGCTATCTATGTATATACAACTTCCTTAATTTGCCTCTAAAATGATTCAACTGAAGAATATCATGAAATACTTACAAGCCATTGATTTACGGTCTATACAAATTTATAGTTAGAAGGGTGTACTTTGACCTAACAAATTCGTAATTAGCTCATTCACCCCCGAAGACACATTTAAACTATTCCAATTCAGAGGTTGGAACAGTTCATTATGAAATTGCAGGGGTGAATGAGTTAAACTTTTTCCCCCCATCACATGCAACGTGGAAAATTTTGATACGATTTTGGTAAAAAAAATACTTGGTAACTTGAACGTTAGTTTTTAGATATCTAATATTTCATCTCATATTAATTTCAAATTTCAACGTGGTATACCTGAGGCATTTATGAACCTATTCTTGCACAGTTAAGCTCATCTGAAAGCTTTTAAAGTTCCCTTTCCAAAAATATACAGTTTTACAAAATCAGTCAAAAGGAAAGGGAAGTACAAATGATTTTCCTGTTTAGTCCGGTGTCAGAAATTCAGCACAAGGAAGATCCTCAAAATCAACATGAACAGAGTTAATATAACTATTTCATGTTTAACGGTTCCATCTTGTTTATAAAAACATTAACAATTTCATATTTTTCATTCCGTTTTTACTACATTTTCCTCCTAATTTTTACAAAAATATTTGAAGTTATTTAATAAAGAATAACAAATGATCTGAAGAAGCAGTTCTTACCAGCATAGAGATGATCCACTGCACTGATGAGAACACATCATAAGTATTATTAGATCGGCCCACCTTCTGTAGCCGAGTTCCAACAGGTAAATTGAAACTCCGGAGAAAACGGTTAAAAATCTGGAAGTGAAAGATTCGTTAATTAATCATTGTAATTTGAGGTTCTTAAATATTGCTTTATCACAACCTAGATCCGTCTAATAATACAAAATCATTCTTCAAATAATATATAATCATCCGTCAAATAATATAGTCAAGCTACAGATCAGATCCATCAAATATTATATAATCATTCGTCAAATATTATATAATCATCCATCAAATACTATAAAATCATCCGTCAAATAATTAAAAATTCAGCTACTGAATATTCATGTAACCAGGAATCATAGCGCAAAGTATTTTCTTTTGTTTTTGAAGCAAATAAGAATATTTTTACAATTCAATTTTAAATCTACAAAGAATGTTTTTGAATTAAAATAAGCTAAATTTATGCTTGATGAAATGAAACAAATTCCAGTATGAACAGCGACCTACCTGACTAGTATACGGACTCCAGTCCATGTAACCAATGTTGTCATTTGAAAGACGGGAAAACAGATTCACCAAGCCCTACATGAACACAATTAAACACATAAACAATCACAAATGTTAATAGTGATGTATTCACTGTAATTTAAGTTTATCTTGCTTAATTATTTCATAAAAACAATTTATTTGATAAAGTTATGCTTATGCTTTTATGACAATGAAATGATAAATGAACCTAATACCATATAACAGGGCTACATTCGCGTATCCCCGTTGGAACGGTACGTGTGGCGCAGAAATATTCCACAATAAACGTACGCACTTGGACCGTTCTATAAGCAGAGCTAAAAACGCACAGTTTCCGAGAATAAAAAACAATGTTTCAAGAATATTATGCCCTTCTTTCACACGTCCACTGAATTACATAACTTATCTTAAAAACTACATGTGGCTTGACATTGTTTTAGAAAGAAATAACGGAAACTAGCAATAGTCAGCATTTTAGTTTCGGTCAGGTACGCTGTACGTCTGGACCCCTCAATCTACACGTGCCAAATTTTCCTGAGGTCAGCCTCGGTTCAGATCTGTACCTGTCGTTTTCTTTACAGGTTCAACCGTTTCAACTTTATACGCAAATGTTCCCCAGGTTATTTATGTGGGCTTAAATTTTTGTGTTTTTTTTAACCCAAAATTAGAAAATTTAATTTACACAGACTATCATTTCGAGATCTAGAAATGTTAAGACTAAGTTTTCGCTGTGTTTTAGCACAGAGGCAAATGAATACGCTTTATTACATCATACTGAGCAACACTAAGTAAGTGTATTCTGTTAAGCAAATCATCGACAAAACTATAACATGTGTGATATAATCTATTTTTAGCCATCTGGTATTACTCTTGATGTAAATGAATCGTTACAGCCACATACTAATTCATGACAACATTATGGTTATGAAAGTATAATCGTGGCTTATTTTTATGCTTGTCATATTATTCTGCGGGTCATAATTCCGCGGTAATGTTTTTGACCCACGACATCGCAAAAATATAAACTCTGCAGAAATATCCTGGATATTGTTATGTTTATAAAATATTACATATAAACTTACAGATTCCCATTTTGGATTGTTCTGGAATGATATCCATATATCCATGAACTCGCTGAACCACAGTCTGAAATGTGAAAATTATGTAACTAAATCTATAAGACCAAATAGAATTATATGTGTTTTTAGGATTTATGCAATAGTAAATATCACAGGTTTAATATGTCAATTACTCAAGTTCTATAAAATGCAAAAAACCTGTATGAAGCGGACACAATCCCGATCAATTTGATGTAAATTGAATCTGTTTTACCAGTTATATCTGTCTAATCTGTTATTGGTGAAATATATTCTATAAATATGCTAACTCTAAAATAGTTCTAATCTTTTATTGGTAAAGCCTGTCTAATCTGTTTATATCTGTAAAACCTGTCTCATCTTAACAGAAATGAGAGTCACAACGATATTCTTTTTATACAGGTTTAACTTGAATGATTTGTGGACACCTACTTCCAACCATGATCCTGCTGATGAGGCGGGAGGTTGGTCGGGAGGAAGTACTCAAAGTAGTGGATGGCTTTGATGTTGGTGACGTCAAATGGACACATCAAGGGCCTCCATTCTTCCAGCATCTCCTTTGTTGCTTCCAACGGAAAATAACTACAAAAACAAAAAGGTTCAACTTGGATTCTCAAATAAAAAAATAAAATTAAAAAAGATGAACTATAGTCTTTCCTGAATTTGAAATTGTTTAAAAGTAGTTTAGTTTTGTACGAGTGAGCTTAATAAATAATTTTGTAATGTGAAGATCTTAAGACAATCTTTACATTAATTTTGAAAAGTAAAAAGAAAGAAAAACCAATATACCAATCTCCCATTTCAGTTGATGTAAGTAACATTCTCTCATGCATTTAACTCATTCCGGACCAGGTGCGTAGTATTCAATTGAAACTAAATGTTAGTGACACTGTTATTACAACTTGCCTACTATCATATCATTTCTAAATATTATTTTACCATCAACGAAAAAAAAAAAAAATCAATGAAAAGGAATGAAAATTGAAATAAGAGTAAAGATGTCTCCGATAGACACATCTGCGACTCTAGATTCCAAAGAATTAAACTTACTGTCGACAGTATTTTATCAGGTTCTTCAAGACATTCTCTACATGGCTGCAAAGGAAAGACGAAATGTACATCAATGAATTAAATATAATCTGATATAAAGGATTCCTATCCCACTGCGCCCTGGTTTATCGTATACACAGTAACCTCCCCTTAACTTCCGTTTCTATATGACTGTAGCACAGTTGAACCAGCACACTTCCACTGACCAGGTAGCTCAGTCAGTAAGAGCGATAGCATAACAATATGAAGTCTAGGTCACGGTCTAGGTCACGGTCTAGGTCACAGTCTAGGTCACCGTCTAGCCCTGCTGATTTTTTTTCCCATCAAAACACTGTTGTTGACTATATTTATATCATCTTTACTATTTTCTCATAGAAGTATTGCAAGGTATGGTTTTCTTTACAAAATGATTTATTACAGGTATAGTCATGCTGGAAAACAGTTTCCAACACTTAGTTACAGTTTTCGCCAGTGGAACGGTGATCCTTAGCAAGCACTACAAATCCGTTGTCAACAATTAATTATTTTAATCTGAAACCAACACTTCAAATCCTTACTTCATTTCACTTAATATTCCCGAAACACTTGTAACTGGCACTTCAGAAGGTATTGTGTTTGCAGTTCAAAACAAAGCTGAATTATATTTAATTATCAATCGATGAGATAGCATTAATCTAGTACAGTGTACAAAACCACAAACCATTCATTAAATTCCTTCCGTAATTTCTTTGAATTTCTGTATGAAAAATAATCATTACAGAAGTCAGAAAGTAATTTCCTTGAATTTCTGTAAGAAAAGAATTTGCTACAGAATTCAGAATTTAATCAAAGTATTATTCCAAATACATATATCACGCTGGCTAAATCGACTATGATTTATACACTGGTCACTACTAACGGTGGGAACAACTGCAGGCCATGAGGTTCATATGGAGAATATGCCACGGCTTCTACTAGCTGGTACAGCGGGCGCCAGGGCAAACACAGATCTTCTCTTGTCAGTAATTTTCTCTTCCTAAAATTGAAAAAACATATTATCAACAAAAGTGAACTGCCACTCTGCTTGATTTTGGGAATTGATTAATACAAGATCTCACCTTTTTAGGAATAAGTCTACCTTATTTTTATATTTTTTAGTAGATGTGTGGATGGGGGATGGAGGTATTATCACTTACCGTAGCTTTAACTCATTCACCCCTGACATTTCATAATGAACTATTCCAACCTTTAAACTGGAAGAGTTCAAATGTGTCTTCATGGGTGAATGAGTTAATATGATTCTGCATATGCAAGTCTTATGCAACATCTATACTTTGCTTTTGCTTAGGTTGTAATTCAATTGCTTTAAAACTGATTTGGGGGACGAAATTGAATCTTTTTCACTGCTAGGGAATTTAAAGTCCATTTGGAAATAAAAATATGTCCAATTTACATTTGGAATGGGGTCTACATCTGCAATGAAGTTCCACCCTAACGGCGCCAGCAAGAAGGTAGCTCAATATGTACAGTGTCTGTCTAGAGTTTGGTGGGTGCTGGGTTTAATCCTAGTCTAGCCATACATTTTCTCTTCTACTGTTACACAAATATGAAGTTTGACAAGGGTCGTGGATCATAGTAAACACAAACTTACTTCAATAAATTAATCAGCTGGTTGGCAAACATCTGTATCAGTGAAAGCTCCAGGTCTGGTATGAGAACCAACTCATACAGGAGTTTGATTAATGCTATGTGGTCTTCTTTGGTAAACTTCAGTCCATAGAGTCGGATATACCTGATAAAAGAAGGGAACATTTATCATAACATTAAAGGAAGTTACAACATTACTACAGCACTGCTTGTAAGTTCTCATTTTGGCAACAATGACTCAAAGACATTTCAGCAACATTAAATTACACACCCGGCTGGTATATAACATATATTACAGCTCAAGACTTAACAGTCAAGGATCCATGTCACTCTGCATTGTGGTTTTTTATTTACAGTTACCTCCCCTTAATTTCATTTTATGTAAAACTGTAGCACAGTTGGGCCAGGACACTTACGTTGACTGCTAGGTAGCTCAGTCACTAAGAGTGATATCATAGCAACCTGACGTTCAGGGTTCAAATCCCTGACTAGTCCCACTGAACTTTTACACTCAGAATTCTGTTATCAATTTTATTTTGGTTTTTTTCATCTGTATTTTTTCCATTGAAGTCCTGCAAGGTTTGGTTAATTTCTTTTCACAAATGACTATCAAAACTATAGCCATGCCAGACGAAACAATTTCTGATGCATAGTTAGTTTTTGGGCAGTGGTACAGGGATCCTTAAAATGAAGACAGATAAAAAAGAATCTATTTCCAGTGACATCTTATGACAAAAGCAAAGGAGCCTGAATAAATTGTCTGGTCTTCATTCATAATTATATAAAATAAGGTACATGTAAATTTCTCAAAAGTGCTCTTTGACCCAGGAATCCTGCATATATACAGAACGAGCAATTCTTTTTAAGAAATTCTCATATTAGGCCCGGCCCTCTGACCTTAGTTGGGTTATACACTTCATTGATAGTTGAGTATGTTTGGGCCAGGTTCACACTTACTATGTAACAAATGATAGAATCTTCAACTTAGAAAAGGCATTTAATATCTGTTACAATGAGAACAAAGTGTTGTTCGGTAAAACACTTGACTTTCAATGCTTACATCAAACTCTCTTGTTTGTTGATGAAACACTATTTATGTGGCCATGTTTTGTGAAAATTTATTATAAAAAAAAATGACAACCAATATATATAACAGTTTCAAGAAAATAGCAACATAATAGAGCTGCCACAATAAAATTATACTTCCACCGGTTTTGAAAAAATCACTTAATGTCGAATGAGTGTATTGATAAACGGAAGTAGGAAGTACATCCCTAATTGAAAATCCAATGTAGGGAGACAGTATCACAATGTCCGCATATTCTAATGAGTCTAGAGTTGTGGTGAATATTGTATGTTTGTTATTGACAGAACAGTGTGTTCTCTCAATATTAAAGTATTTCAAAGCAATCCAGGCATTAGTTCAGGGTTTTTTTTATCAATGAGTCACATGTGTCCATTTATCTGTACTTCAGGAAACCAGGGACAGTATATATACGTCCCTGAGGAAACCGGCTTCCTATTTCACTACTGTGATGTTTTTCAAGAAAGATAACTCTTGCATGCAATTACGATGTGTATATATAATTGTATTATAAAATGTCAATTTTTAATCATTTATAGATAATTCATTTTACACAATTTCAGCATTTATTAAATTGATATACATTAATGCAATAGTAATCTATGGCAGTATCATTTTTATTGATATTATTTTGCAAAAAATTGTGTCTTTCATTTTTTTTCAAAATTCGCTCCTTTTTACATAAATTTCCATTTAAAATCCTTAACATTCTGACAACCTATTTTTTTGCAGCAGAAAATTGTCTTTACTTTAAAGCAATATAACTACAAAATTTGAAGAAATTCTACTGAGAAATGGTGACAGAAACCCATTACCCTAACTGTTTTGGGGTTTTTTTAATTTGTAAAACATTTCTTGTCTAATATTATGAAACAGTCAATTTTAAATAAACCCTTCATTTTTTTCTGCTATTCCCTAAGATTTCTAGTTCAGTTTGATTTTGTTTCAAAATAAATAAATGTTAGCTATGAAATCATGTCATCAGATTTATTGCCAGAAGTTTCTATGACTCTACTGTCATTGACTGTATATAACCTTGGCATGTAGAAATTACATGTATCTATAAATAGACTAAACACTCCCACTTCATACATCAATTGTGCTTTTTCATTCACCAATATGGCTGCTAAGAAGTAGAAATCTTCAAAATATGCCATAACATCAGCGAGGCAATTTCTGATTATCATTATGCATTATACCGTAACACAAAAATTGATATGATGCTTAAACTCTTCTTTTGTAGAAATCAGATACAAGCCTGAATATACGATTTTTTTTAAATCATAAAAGGTATCTGATTACGCGACACACTCGTGCAGTCATTAGATTATCTTTGGACAATTAACTGACCGCCTAGAAGTGCTATACTTGTCTTAAACTGAAGTGTTTTGCAAACTTGAAAACATTTTAATTTGTGTTTTTCCCCGGTCAACATATGAATATGATATTTGCAAAAAAAAAGATAAGACATTAAAAGCAAAATACAGGATATTACCTGTGACACTGTGGTCTCTATTTATATAGATCATTCTGTATATCAGACATTGAAAAAAAAGTATTCTCACAATTTGCAGACGAATCCGATTCCTGTCAAGTCTCCATATTAAGGCGACTGCTAATCGATTTCTGTACTCAACACTTTGTATATAAACTCAAACTATTTAAATCATAAATCGATGTAAAAAAATAAAGGCGTGTAATGTATAACACGATAACTCAAAATGGTTTGAATAATTTCATGACCAAAGAAATACCTCGACAGCATCCCGACCCAGTGATTCGCTCCAGTTTTGACATCTCGTAGAGCGACAGCTTTCGCTAAATTGCTTTTTATTTCCACGAATGCTTCAAAGGACTCATCATCGATCTTGTCAGCATACGGTAGAAAATTGTTGTAGATTTTCTCCTGTTGAGGAGAAAAACCCAACACTTGTGCTCTGTCGTCCATCTCTCTATTAAACATATTGTAAGCGTGACATTGCTAGCTACTTGGATGCCATATTGTTTTTATGCAGGATGTAACGAGGAATTTGATTGGATATTTTGACGGCATCCTAATTCCCATATAATCAGGGAGCGTTAAGCTTGAATGCTACCAAGAAGCATTAGGCCACGGCTATCAGATCCCACTCTTAAATAGATTCGATATAAAATATGGAAGTTGGAACATAATAAAAGACTTTTTAAGGAGGACAGGATTTGAAAATGAAAATTTGAATGATGTGGATGTTTTGATCTATCTGAAACTGTCTGAATGTCCGCAACAGGGAGGAATACTGACACTTCTTTAAAATGATGTTCCCGTTTGGCTGCACCATACCTGTGTGGTGAATTTTGGTTAGAGTTATCTCCCTTAGACCGGTAACCGCGCCGACAACCTGGATGTGACATCTCGGCGCGGTCTCTTATACTTCTAGATATCGAACCAGCAACACGTGAGTGAATTTCCTCCACCTTGTCTTTGATTTCAGGAGCTGAGAGCGTTTGCAACTACTTGTTGTGACGGTGTGTGAATAACACACACCGAATTCACGACAATTGGTGTCATAAGTGAGAAAGAACTCACGCTATTCGCGCTATTTTGACATTTTTTTCCATATTTTTTTTCTACCTTGCTGGTCCCCTCTCGCTCGCACGTGCGCTGGCCATTTTGTTGACCAGTGCGCGAATTACGAGTGAGAGATTTTGGGACAGTTCTAGCAGTTTATTATTGTTTATTTAATTATTTATTAGGGGTAATTCAGAGTCGGCGGTGTTTTCACTGCCGTTCTGAAATTTATATTTAATTTAATTTAGTTTACTTGTTAGGTTTTCACGGAACTTCATTCGCCTGTATAGTGGGCCGCCCATATTGGCGGAATACATATGACAGGCGAGACTTGAGTTATCGTTAGTATAGGATATTATTTTTATATTGTAGGGAAATTATTATATGTTTAGTTAGGTTATTATTACATTAGGTTAGAAATTAGTTATTTTAGGAATTAGAAATTATTTTGTAAACTGTAAATCGTAGTTGTAATCGTTGGAATTTTGTACGGGACGGT